AGAAAATTATTATGCCTGATATTAACCTGTTTAAAAAAAGAAGGCATTTTATAACCTTGACGAGTCAAGTTGATTCAAAATGTATTTCCAAAAAAAATAAAATTTTTAATTTCTAAATTAAAACTTGAATATGAATATTAATAGATCTAAAGTATTTTTCAATTTTAAATATCACAAGGTCTCATTATAGCGTATGAATGTAGATTATCTTTATTTAGAGAGAAATATATTAAATACTAGCTATTCCCCGCGACTTCTTCCGCGTATAATAATAACTTCTAGGAAATTTTGGATTTTTTATTTAGGCTTATCCAAGGTTAATTGTAACGTTGTGTAACAAATTTCATCAGAATGAATTTAGTCATATTTTGTAAAATGTTGTTGATTTTCGTGTTTTAAAAAAATAAACAACCCCACTGGATTTTACCCGTATACATAGTACCCCTTCCCGTGAGGTTTTAGTGATTAAAACTCCATTTAAATTCCAATCAAATAGGTACAGTGGTTGAAAACTATCAGACGTCATTTTCCGAGTCTCAAACTATCCTTGTACCGCATTGCACTCAAATAGGTTCAGTGGTTTAAGCAATAGAGAGTCCCGGAATTTTAACGCATTGTTCTTGTCCCTTGAGATTTTCTTTCCAGTGCCAGTGTCTCAAACTCTCGTTGAACCGAATTTTATTCAAATATGTTCAATGGTTAATGAAATTAGTATTCAGCCTCTTTGCATACCTTAATGTTGTATCATGATATGATAATAAATAATGGGGATGATGACAGGGTATGAAAATTAAAAATATAATTAGTCCGTTAGTTAGGTAATGAAAAAATATTAGACACGTATTTTTTTATTTTGTCGTATAATAAAACAATACTTAGATAAAACGAATCAAAGTTTAGGAGTGGGGGCTAAAACGTCATTCCTTAGCATAAAATGTACTGAGAAGTGACGTCACGCGACATTTCAAATCAATATATCTTCGAAACTATTCGTTTCTGTGAGAAAATAAAAAATACGTGTCTAATGTTTTTAAATAATCTATCAGACGGACATTAAAATAAAAATTAGTCGTCTACCCTATTGTCAATAATCCATTGACATAAAACTCATTTATCAAAAATATGTCAGATAACATAGAAAGGTATACTTAATATTATAAATTTGTTTAAGTCTGTATGTTTTGTTCGAAATTGATGTGATTTTTTTTACTGTGTTGAGATAGTAGAAAGGATTGAAAGTAGCGTAGGTGACATTTTGTTTCTTTCTAACCCACCACTTCCCTAAAACAGGGAAGGCTGGAAGCTTGTATGGAGCATTTCGTAATTTTCAAGAAATCTAAAATAAGTATCACATTTGTGACCAGGAAAACATCGGGTACCAATTCTTTTTTATCTTTTGTAAACCTGCCCTATATATTTTAAAAGAGCGTGAGTGAAACTGTGGGCAGAGGCTAGTCCGTGAATAAAATGTATTCAGTTAATTGAATTCGTATTTTTTCTTTGAAATCTCTGATTCTGATGCAACTAAATACTATGATTAGTACTGGAAAACAGTTTTCCATTGGCAGTCAATGGCTTAAGCAATATAAGGAGTATTTTGGTAATGTATTCACACATCGGGTTACATTATCTTAATTTTCACACGGTTCTCGACCCGCCCCGGCTTCGCACGGGTGCAATATGCGTGTATCATCACTCTATCTATTTAAAAAAAAACGCATCAAAATCCGTTGCGTAGTATGAAAGATTTAAGCATAAGGGACAGACAGACGGCGGATAGCAATTTTGTTTTATACTATGTAGTGCTAACCTATGTTCAGTATCGATAATGTAGGATTCCAACGGTAAAAGAATTTTTGAAATCGGTCCCATTATTTCGGAGGAGATTTTATTCAAACAAACAAAAAATAAAATTTTTCCTCTTTATACTATTAGTGTACATGTAGATAGAACTTGGATACAATTGTATTGAATTATATAGGTATTGTATTTGTAATATAACTCAAGGACGTTGGATTAACTCAGATTTAATAGCGTATTAAAATAAAAACTCTTTATAAATATTGTTTGATTGCTGGAAGTCATCATTTGTTTTTATAATAACTATCGTGAGGCATACTAAATTAAGTGAAATCGCGGGTTACTCACGTGAATATACTGCCGCCCACGCTGCTCATGAGGAATAACTCAGTATATTCACGTGAGTAACCCGCGATTTTAATTACGTCATCATTTATCTTATATCACCACAGTCATAGTCTGACCAGCTCCTCCTACGTTTGATGAAAATTATTCAAAACATTATCTCTTCTCTACTAACTACGAGCGAAGCGAGATTCAAAGAACAAAATAATAGAACGTTATTTTTCTATGGGATCATATTTGGCACTCAGCTATAAATAACTTATGTGTTACATTTGGATTTCTGGAGGTTTGTCCGTCAATCACTCTGAAACTACTGAATAGATTTGATGAAATTATGGTATTTTTATGAATTACGGTGTGGGTTGACTTATATAATAAGATACTATTTATTCCGATTAAATGCTCCCATGGGATAAAACAAAAATCATATTCTTCGTGGACGAAGTCGCAAGCAACAGCTTGTTGTTTCTAAGATGAAATGATGTATCCTACAGTTTCCCTCTGGGGTGCTCATTTGACGGCTACAATGAGGCGACTAATCTGAGCGCGGTACGCAGTCTCGTTTCGATTATCTACTTTAAATGTACAATTAACGCGTTCTAAGGCCTCAGCTGGTACATGTATTTTTACTCTTTTCTTAATTGCAACTTAATACGAGAAAATAAAAAAAATACGAGTCTAATATTTTTTCATTATCTAACTGACGGACTAATTACATTTTTAATTTTGATACCCTGGAAACTATGTAATTGCTTACCATCAGATGATCCGTCTACTCGTTTACCGGCTTATACCATAAAACAGTCTCAGAGACCCTAACGGGTAACCGGGGCTCCGGCTTAAAGTGCAGGAGTAGGAACGGGGTGGTTTTTAGTCAGTAAGAGTCTGATACGCCCTCCCGCCTCACCTACGCAGGAGAAGTCATTCGATGATTTCTCCCCTTAAAAAAAACCATAAAACAAAAGTCTCCTTGTCTGTAGTCTTGAAGGCAGACGTCCCTTAGAAAAAGATAAAACAATTAACCCTTCTAACAATGATTTATTGTATCATATAACTTACATTTAACAAGGATTCAATGAGTTTCAATATAGCAGCTATAAAGTAATACTTTGGTGGTGTTTACTTTATTAAGTTTTTAATACATATCACATCACCCATTAATTATACTATTATTACTAATACTAGCTACTTGCGTGCAGTTTCTTTCGCTGCATGGCTCCTATTCGTCATAGCGTTATGTTTTATAGCCTATAATCTTCCTCGACAAATGAATTATTCAATTCAGCCCCGTAGTTCTGGCGATTAGATTAGCGCGTTCATACAAAAATATACTCTTCAGATTTGCATAAAGGTAAGTCTATGCTAGACGAACAGAGCACGAGCGAAGCCCAAGCAGAGCCGTTCTCGATTTTGTCCTTCGCGACGTCAAGTGTGGACGTGTAACAATCGCTGTCCTCGAACGTAATTTTTCGCAGTGAACACTGCGAGCACGAATCAGTAGCTGTAGACAAATGCCACTTAGCGCTTGTCTACTTGTAGAATAGAAAACCATATTATATTGAATTGACATAAATTTTGACACTTGTCAGTGTCATCCCCATACATTTAGGTATCTACTCTCTCGGTAGACAAGCGCTAAAGTGGCGTTTGGCTAAAGGCACAAATCTCTTTGTGGTTGTCAAAAAACCGACAATAGGCAGAATGCAACTGAGCACGACCGAAATGCTTGCAGCGCGCTCCTTGTAAGTCAGTCCGCACTAGACGAATTGTGTTCGGCTAGTGCTCTGCTCGTGCTCAGCTCTCCTAGCGTAAACGAAGCTTGATAGTATAAAATTACTGCATCCTTGAGGGTAATGAGAGGCAAAATAAATCCAAAGACTAGACGTGATGATACAGGAAAAATAATATAACAAAAGTCGTAGTATAAAATTAATAACTTATAAACGAAATATAACTTTAATTAACATTACATAATGTTAACTTTAGTTAAGTTTGTATATAATAGGTACAAGTGAAAGACTTCTTTCGCGTTTTATTGTATGAATTGTGTTTAAAAATACAATGTGTAGTTTTGAAACCGTGTCATTTCTCGGGGGCATGGCACAGAAGTCATAAACGTTCAATGTAAGAGAAAGTTTCGGGTCAATAGTTAAAAAATACGGCTATAATAGATCGTTTAAGTTCGACAGTATTTCAGAATAAGCGATAGCATTGTTTCTTATTGGAGTTTTAGGGAATTAGGAATAATATCAATTACGTGTTTGAGTTTGTATTTGTTAAGCCGCGTTATAAAGTTAGTTACAAGACGGCGGCGTGTACTTCGCAACTTACGGATTTCCGTAATTTCAGAGAAATGACAAATATTTACCTAAATTTATTTTTAATATTTCGGACTCAGAATCGATAGCCGAGTTACCTCCTAGAAAAGGACGCGGCTTTAAAACAACACCTTGTATAAAGATGAGAAGAGTGACATACAAGATTGTGTCTTCTTTGAACACACAAACAAATGCAGAAACCCAAATCGAATGAAAAGCTGTAGTCAGACAACTTCTTTCTAGTAATTTACATTATTTCAATTAAGAAAGTCACTTTTAAGAAATATGCCCTTTTTAATTTTAATCTGGTATGGATAATCTTTATTTTTTATAAGACTATTACCAAGTCAATAGGTCATGTATATAATTATTTTTATTTATACTTAATTCTAGTTTTAGCTACGCAACCAAAAGTAACTTGATTATATAATAGCATATAAAATACATTTAAACAACTTATAAAATAAATTACTATTTTCTATTTTTCACATTCACTCTATCATTTACAGCGCAGGATACAGCCATTTTCATAAAATTCTAAGATCTTAATTTCAAACCAATAAGGTGACCTTTTACCGGTTTTACAACTACGTCAAATTCACAATCTATATTATGAATACTGCCAGAAATATGATATTGTCGTACTATGTGTGCTAGTGCTGTCTTCATCATCAGGATGCTGAACAATTTTCCTGAAAATATATAAAACAGTGTTAATGAAATGCACAAAAAAATATTAAATATGCTATATTTTTGTCTTTACTCTTTTTGTACAAAATATCCCAAACGTAAACACCTCTGAACTCTCAATTAATTGTTCTAAAGTACAAAACAGTTTTGTAATATGTTGTACAATAGCTGTTGAGTAAAATTATTTAAACTGTCAATGCAATAAGAATTCCTAAAATCTTACCTATGCAGTTTCGTTTGCCTATACCGAAGGCAGCAAAGAGGACGGGATTATCAGGCAAGCGGCTGGGATCCAACCAGCGCTCTGGTTTGAATTCATTTGCATCGGGACCCCAGAGCGGGTGGCGGTGGAGAGCATGTGCACCGAGTACACAAGTGCTGTTGGCACGCAGCGTACAGTTTTCTAAAAATAAACAACATGGTATTATGTTTTTATAATAACTATCATGACACATACTAAATAACCTAAAAATCGTGGGTTACTGAATAGATTGAGCCTACTCAGTAGGCTGCGCAACATCGCCGCGACCGCGCACGCTGCTCATGAGGAAGAACCCCTCTGTGGTTCGAAACTAGTAGATCTTTTCTCAGTATATTCACGTGAGTAAACCGCGATTTTTAAGTAATATGGTATTATGTTGAAAAAATCGTCAAATAATGTTAAACATGCAAAAATGCGGTGAGCTAGTTCAAAGTAAAAAAACAAATAAACAATGCATGGTAAATTAAATTAAGAATTAATTAAATGAAGAATTAATTAAATTAAGAATATTAAAGTTTGGATCAGTGTATGTTCTAGCCAGCAGTATCCTTCATCATTACGATGATGAGACAGTGAATACATTGCACTCTTATTTATTGCAGACATTTTATTATACTAACAAAATACTTACTCAGTTTAACATCCACGTCAACTTTTCTTGCCATGAACGGGACAGCAGTGTGCACCCTCATTGATTCTTTAACAACAGCGTCAAGGTACACGAGTTTCTGCAGATCGTGTTTTGTAAAATCATCGTCTTTGTTCTGCAGTACCTCTTGTATCCTATAAAACATAATTTGTTATATTAGTTACACATAATTATTCAAATTCGATTAAGTTTTTTGTAGGAAACTATTAAGAGTGGTACATATAAGTATGCTTTCACAGGCAGGTATTATAATAATATTGACATTGAAATAATTGACGAATATTATCAAATTATATTCGTCAATTCTTCATCATCTTTGTAAACAAACCGTATTCATTTAATCTCAGACTATGGACCATAAGGTGAGTAAGAGAAATAACAAAATCTACCACGCTTGTCAAATAGTTTGGCATTTTTAATAGTTCGCGTTGCTGTAATATATATAATGTATTGGCTATGTGCGCGACGGTGGCGACGCGTAGCGTTTACAACATTTGCGGAAGCTGTCAAATAATAACAATGTAAACATTATAATTTTTTTGCAAATGTAAATAAAACCAAAGATTAAAATAGTATTATTGACATTATTTAAGTGCAATTTACTCAATAGTTTTACTGTAAAATGAATATAATAATAAAAACCGGGTTTGTATCATCCGCATTTGTTTCCAATTTCTGCCGTGTTGTGCGCTCCGGTCGTTATCTGTCCGTCACTTCTCGCTTTGCACATAGCCAATAGGTGCATTAAATCTTAGTCTACTTACTCGTTATAAATTCGACTCTGTATTTCTGGGTAAGTTGCAATCACCAACAGCATGAAGGTCATAGCTGAAGATGTCGTGTCATATGATGCTGCTACTAATGTGTCTAGGTGTTCTCTGATGTCTTCGTCCGAGAAAACATTTTGTTCATGTGCCATTTGAAGCATGTGATCCAGCACTGGTTTGAATTTACCTGAAACATATTTTAATATTAGCATGTTTGAATTTTAACAATTTTTTTATTGTAGTGTTTTCGGTCTAATCTAAATAAAATTCTCGAACTTTAAAGTACAGAACGTTAACGTTTTTTTATGGAACAGGAGGCAGACGGATCACCTAATGGTAAGCGATCAGCGCCGCCCATGGACGCCCGCAATACCAGAGGAGGCACCTTTTAAAAAGACATACGCTTTTTTCTTGAAGGTTTAAAGGTCAATTTTAGAACTTCTTCAGTAATATCAAGTGTGGGACAGCCATGCTTCGGTACAAATGGGCCGGCTCGACTGAAGTGATACCACGGCCTCATAGACAACCGACGTAAAGCAACGCTTGCGTTGTGTTTCGTCGCGTGAGTGAGGTTACTGGACGCCCAATTACCCTCCTCGTCACCAATCTCCAATCCCTGAATCCCCAACGATCCTTAAATTCCTAATCCCCAAAAGGCCGGTAACGCACTTGTAATGCCTCTGGTGTTCCAGGTGTCCATGGGCGACGCCGATTGCTTACCATCAGGTGATCCGTCAGCTCGTTTACCGGCTTACGCCATAAAAATATATATATCCACGTAGGCACTAATTCATAGTAGAATTCTAAAATAAATGCCATAATATATTATTTACCATTTGTGTATTCATATTGCGTAGGTTCTGGGATGGTTTTCATTTCGGATTTCCTTTTCAATATGACCTGTAAATATAAATAAAAAAAATTAAACATACTTTCAAGCCACAACGCGTTCTTAACTAGTTTTAATCTTTAACTCATGTTTATTTATTATAGATGGAAGGTCGAAAACGACAGTTTTCTATGAATTTTGTACGAGATTGTGTATTGTGTCGTCACGTTTTTAGCGTCAAACAACATACTTTTTTTTTAAATTGCTACTTGGTCATAAAATCAATTAATGAAAATGTGATTATTTTTTAATATTTTATTGTATTGAACTGTCGAAATATTTTTGCGAGTACTCAATTACGTTTATGGTAAATGCACTGTCATAAGTCGAGTTGGGAAAATTATCATCGCTTTCTTCCTACATCGATCCTATATCTATCGTTGGTTCATTGGAGCCGTCCAATCAGAGGCCTTAGAACGGGTTTTTTTACGTTTAAAGTAATCGAAACGAGACTGCGTACCGCGCTCTGATTGGTGAATGTCGTGGTGGACTGGAGGTTTAAGACGCCCGCTTTTCATGCATGATTGTGCGGACTCGAAACCTACCAACGGCAAGTACCAATGTGACTTTCCGAGTTATATGTTCTTTCTAAGATAATATAGACACCACTGACAGACGGTGAAGGAAAACATCGTGAGAAAACCTAGGCTTATAATTTCTAATTATAAGTTTGTAATCTCCAACCCGCATTGAGCAAGCGTGGTGATTAATGCTCAAACCTTTTCCGTGTGAGAAGAGGCTTTGCTCAGCAGTGGGCATTTATAGGCTATTGATGATGATGATGATGCACTGATTGGTTGGTTTACCGGAGCCGGCGTAAAACAAACAATACTAAGCCTTCTGGTGTTAAGTGTTATACTAAACTAAACGTGTCGTAAAGGACCTTGAAAGAGGTTAAACTTTCTATAGCCAATGAATGTACTAGAAAACACACTTACGGGGTTAATGATATTCTTCAAGGTTTTAGTCAATCTGTCTTGTTTGCGTTTCATTTCACTCCATTTGAACACACAGCTAATATGCAGCCACACTTTCTGGGCTCTGTCACAGTACAGAGCCAATAAATCTTCAATAGCCTCAGCGTATTCTCGGTCTATTATCTTCTGTTCTTTAGCTGTTAGACCTAGTGAAGTACCTGAAACGTAAAAATTGTTGGTTTATAAAAAAATAAATGTCGTATGAAATAAAACAAAATTTTCTACTAATAGATTGATAAAAATACAGAAGTCTCGACTGACTTTTGTATGTATAACTCTAGATACCTATATACACATTTTAAAAAAGCTTCTCTTAACGCGTCCACGCAGACCGAAACAAAATGAAAAAAAAAACTAGTCTAAATTAATGTTGCTTTTTCAATTTTTCTTTTACATTAAGACCAATAATATAATTAGTAGGTTCGAACATAATCCTTACTAATATTATAAATGGGAAAGTGAGTTTGTTTGTTCCACTTTCGCGCCGTAACTACTAAACCGATTGCCTTGAATTTTTGCAGATGTGAAGTTAGAAGTCTGGATTAAATAATAGGGTACTTTTTATCCCGGAAAACCTTGATATTCTTGAGGGAAAACGAAATTATTGGTATAGATGGCGCTGTGTGTATTGGTATATGTCACATAGGCTACTTTTTTATATTTTTGTGACGCGAGCAAAGCCGCGGGTAAAAGCTAGTTATAACATAATTATGAATGAATACATCCAACTTTAAGATAACTCAAACTAAAAAAATCGAATATAAAAAGATAATAAAACGAAATCAATCAGTTAGTCGTCCAACAATTCGTCGGCATCATTGTCACTAGACAACGTGCTCAGAAGACTGGCAGCATTGCCACATTAAATGACAACGATTATTTTCGTAATTAATATATGAAGGTCGAACAAAGATACTTACGGCTAACAGTAGATAGTGTAAAGTTGACCAAGTAGTGTCTAATGTCGAATGGCTTCTTGCCCAATTCATTGCTTAAATTCGAAACAAGATTTCGAGCTTGTTTGTTCATTTCGTCAACGAATGTGTTCAGAACTTGCTGGTTGAATGCCGGATTCAATAATTTACGATGAGATTTCCATACAGGGGCTGTAAGTAAAAAAAAATTGTTATACTTGCCTACTTATGTATATTTTGTATTTGTAAGTCAAGTCAATGTAACATAACATAGCATCACGCTTTTTTATCTCCGAAGGGGTAAGCAGAGGTGCACATTTCGGCACTTAATGCCACTGTTTAATGTAACACCCACTTTTCACTATTTATGTTATGAGTCCCATGTAATAGGAGGTGAGCCTGTTGCCATATATCGGGCACATTTCCAGACTCCGTGCTACTACAGAGAATATTTAAAAAAACTGACTTTGCCCGACCCGGGAATCGAACCCGAGACCCCTTGCCCGGCAGTCGCACTTGCGACCACTTCTTTAATCTTCTTTCTCTTCTTTAAACTTCACTTTAATGTAGATTTTTTTTTGAAATAAATGTATTAAGCCGTATAATATAAACCTCTGTTTTGGCTGATTTTGTTTTCACGAGGACTTCTAGCTAGCTAAACTTTTCTATATTAAAAAATATAATAGTAAGTAATGAAATTATTTTTATCCATTGCTAGTCGTCGCCATTTTGGGAATTTCGTATACAATTTGTGAGTAAATAGTGATTTATTCAGAAATTCTCATAATTCGCAGAATTTTGAATGGAATTTGTCTTATATTTGTCACTTTAACTGACTAAACTAACTCATCCTTTAATTTATCGGGGCATTTTATAAAAATGGAAAGCATAGTATAGTAATAGATTGAATGTTAAAAATATAACAATCAATATTTGAAATTTTTGTTACGTTTGATTGGCTTGAAGTTTGTTTATATACCTATCATTAATTGTTTAATGTTTGATCAATACCAATTACAAATATTATGATTAAATATTATAGTAGTTCCACCCTCAATCGCCTACTATATACCACATAAGGAATACTTTTCGCACTCACCTTCAGCTGTAATCAGTCCATTGTTTAAGAAATCCTTAGCAAAATCATAGATGTAAGGTTTGCTGTAGCACGTGTTGGCCAGTGTAAGACAATCTTCAGGATCGGATAAAACTGTAATTGAAAACAAAAATTATAATTCGTTTTTTGTAGCATTAACATTACAAAGGTCTTTTCCCTAATATAATGTTTCTTAACGTTAACCTATTGGGTGTTTTTTTATTCTTTCAACTGATGTAGGTACAATCACAAAATTCACATAACATAATATCACGCCTTTTACCCCGAAAGGGTAGGCAGAGGTGCATATTACGACACGTAGTACCACTGTATGTACAATGTAACACCCAGTTTTCACTATGCATATTATGAGTCCCATGTAATAAGGGGTGGGCCTATTGCCATATTCCGGGCACACTTTCAGACTCCGTACTACTACTGAGAAATCAAAAAAAAAACATCAGCAAACATTAAGAAAAATTTAAAAACAAAAAAAAAATTGTAGTGCCCTATAGTGAGTAACCGTAGTCCGCTACGTAGTCGTTTACGCTATATAAACGCCACCTACTAAACGCAAAAACCTTCTTTGCAATCGACAAACATTCACCTATTTGAGTATTTGTAAAAATATAATACAACACAATATTTGTCTGGATAGTAGGTAGTTCATAGTATTTGTAAATAGGTGGCGCTACTATTGTAGACTAATATATAAAAAAATTATTATTAATTATGGATAGTAAGTATCAGCTTTTGCCGCGGAAAATTCTAAATTACTTTACAGTATAAACTTTCCTTAATAATCTAATCTAATCTATACACATGCTCATTTCAAGCACAAAAGCATGCTTCAATTGAGCACTTGTCAATTAGTAGCATGTGTGTCGGAATGTTGCTCAAAATTTGACTGCACGGTTGTCGCGGTGGTTGGGCAACTGACTGCCGCGCAACGTGTCGCGGCTTCGATTTCCGCACGGAACAACTCTTTGTGTTATCCACACGTTGTTCCGGGTCTGGGTGTCATGTGTTTGTGAACTTGTATGTTTATAAATGCACCAACGACACAGGAGACAATCTCGTGTGAGGCAATGTTTTATTATTAAAAAAGCCAACATACCATAAAATCTCTGGGCGCCCAACCAAAGCTCGATAGCTCCTCCATGATCGAAAGATAATTCGTTGATATGTTTTATGAAGTACCAGAGATCTGAAACATTAAAGATACAATATTATAAGCAAAATGCTGTGTAATAAAGGTAAATCGAACACACTCTACCCGCAGATGTCGTAGGAACCGACTAGACTAGTCACCGTTTCCATCCACCAATTAAACCGTTAAACCACCTCTTAACTAAGTGGTACTTAGCGTGACGGAGCTACTGAACTATTCTAAATTAAGTCTTAAACATCACTTTTAGGTTTGTGAAAACCAAAATATCGTTTACTGTTTCGACTTAAGTAAAGTACCTATCACCTACATCAAAGCTATCTTTAAATTTTAAAAGAGGTTGGTAAACTGGCATTAAATGTCATAGGTACTGTTCACATTGCGCTAGGATTTTAGTTGAGTAGTGAGTTTATAGTAACTCTCTCTCGGTTCGAATTTTAAAAATTAAGAAAACAATTTATAACAATCATCCCTGCCAATAAAGAATTGTCATTTTTTAAATTTAACCGTCGATTTTTATGATTCCCCCTATATGGTATTTAATTTCAGATAATATACGAAATAAATAAGGTATTTATTATTTTGTCCTTTATCGTTATCATTAGAACAAAGAGAAGCCATATCGAAAAAATTTAAATGTATGCATTAATGTCAAGGTTAAAATCTAAATTTTCAAAGTAGATCTACTAAAATGACATATTTTATCATAATACATTTACATAGTTCGAATTTAATTTTACAGAATATGTTATCATTTTATAATGCATGCTTTTTTATACACAGGGTGATTTGTAATTTGACAACAAACTCGTATAAGGTTAAAAAACAAATCAATTCCAACATTTGTCGAACAACAACGGGATAGGCGGAAATGAACGATTATTAAAATATTTTACTTTTAGTGTTAATTTCAAAATGACGCCCGCTAATTTATTTTTGATTAAGGAAAGTACCCAATTCATGGAATAAATAAAGATTTTGATTTTGACTCAAAAATATGGTTCTCTAACATAAAAATTTACTCCACAGGAAAAAGGAAGTCCACAATAGTGCACACTACACACTTTACGAAGTTTTAACTTGTTAACAGTTAAATCGTAGGTCCATACAGGCTACACATCTTAACACGTTAACCGCCGCGTAAGGCCCGGTGCCCACTATCGGTGTCGGCAAGGAAAAGTATCTTTCAGCAGATTACATGCAAGCGCACACTGTCGGAAACTATATTTTAGCATGCTGGAACGTTCTTAAGCATGACGAGGCGTCCTTGAGCATGGTGCACCGTCCTGAAGCATGCCGAAGCGTCTCAATACCGTATGTTTCGTCATAACAGTCTCAGAGTTGTCTGAGTTATATTTAATATGGTGGACTGGGATATAGTGCTCATAGTAGGTTTTGCTGAAGAAGAAGAGAAATTTAATCAATCAAGCTGCTGCGTGCTGATGCCGATAGTGGGCGCCGGGCCTAGGTCACCGGTAACCTACGTCAGCGGAGGATTTTCCTATTTTTAATGGAATAGGAGGCAAACGAGCAGACGGATCACCTGATGGTAAGCGATCAAAGCCGCCCATGGACGCCCGCAATACCAGAGAAGTCACAAGTGCGTTGCCGGACTTTTAAAAGTGATACGCTTTTTTCTTGAAGGTTTGAAGGTTTCCTTCAACAATTTTCTGTCAGCAGTCAAAGATTTTTTTTTTTAATTAGGTACAGTTCACCTGTTTGCTCTAACACTTAACGAATTGACTGTACAGTTACAACTGCACAGTTGGATCGGAAGATGTGTAGCGTGTATTCCAAAGTTTTCGGAATTTGCCCTTTGACCGTCAGTTTAAAATATATGATAATTAGTTGGCATAGTAAAACATTGTTTATTATTATTATTTATTCTAAAAGCCGCAAACAAGATAATTTTTATTCATTTAACGTAAGGTTAATGGTAATTTTATGAGCTGCATGATTTTTTTCCTTGGTATCATAAAAACAATTTAAAGTCTATCATTAGTTATTTTCATGGTCAAATAAACGCACCCGCGACGTTAAAATGTCGAGTTAGATACCTATGTGAAGTAATTTAAATGTTTTTTTGATTTTTAACTTTCATAATTTGAGTGACTGGTTGCGTGTTAGCTGGACAACCAGCTGCTGCGTAACGTGTCACGGGTTCGATTCACGCACAGAACAATTTTGGATCCACAACTTGTTGTTCCAGGCATGGATGTATGTGAAATAGTATACTTTTAAACGCATCCACTACATAGAAAAAAAGTATGTGGCAATGACCTAGTACCTATGGGGCAATCGTTAAGAAATAGATAGAAGCAGTAACAACCACTTTTCACTAGCCAGGTATGGTAAGGGTCTCCCCACATTTATCGATTCTCAATCGTCGAACACTGGTCAAAAAAGCCTTTATGTATACGTAATAAAGGCGTTACTGATATTCTTCGCGTCGCGACACCGCCGCCGGCCGATGGCGAAACGAGCCGATTCGGGGATAAGTAAATTAATGTGGTGGTGCGCACTCGCACTAAGCTGATTCTGCGTCGATAAATATGGGGAGACCTTTATAATACCTTTAGTTTTTACTAAGCTTTTGCTTTTATCTATTTCTATTAGAGTCTCCACAAAAGTCTACTTAATGAAGAAAAAAACTAAGACTCCTACTTGATAGTTACCATATATATAGTGCGGGATATATGGCAATATCCCGCACCGTTCGCCTTTCTTATATCTATTACGCCATTAAAAAAAAAATTTCGAAAATCAATTCCAAAAATAGCTTTATTAATTACAGTAGATCAGCTATGCAATAATAAAGCCGAACTCAATATGCTTATCGATGCAACATGTTTAGCTTACATAAGTAACCGGTTAGGTATAGTATTCGTATTAAATATAGTAGTAGGTACGTTATGTTCATTTGAAAGCAGATCATAATACTACTGTACATAATTAGTATGGCGGATATGTCCGTGTTGAAACTTATACCTATTTAATATTGTTTTTCGTGTTTTTCTGGGAATTTTATTGAAAACAACGTTTCACTTAAATACTGATTTATTTGCTACTATAGATAAAAAACAAAACATAGTGGACTGTAATAATATGACAGCTGTCACTTATAGCTATCTCTATGGGCTCACAACAAAAAGTATTCGATATTTATGAAAACAAAACTCTTTGGACCGTCCGTCAGAAAATTAAAGAATCTGTCTGAAGTTAGCCATGTTTTCCTATTTCAAAAATTGTGTACATATTTTAAACGTTATACGGTTACGGTACGGAAGATTATCGTTAAGATCCGTCCAGCCGTTTTGGCAACATTTAGTGATAAGTATTTATGAATTTTTACGTACATCTGAACCGTTGCAATAATTTGATTAGGACGGCGTACACCCACAAGTATATATAATGCAACAAGAGTATATAAACTAAATTTGATCCCTTTACAATGAACTGTGATCATAACAAAAGATTTTAGATTCAATATCAGGTACAAAATACAATTTCTATTTAGATAAAATAAAAAAAAATCATATATAATTAATTTCAATACATTTAAGATAATAGATAAAAAACATAAAAAAATAAAATAAAACGGAATTCAGAGATTCCAGATTAGACGGAAATAATACAATTAAAAAAAATCTATGGCAATGGTCAAAATTAACACTGAGCACACTTTACCACATTTCTGTCTTAATTGACAGGAAATAATTTAAGAATAGGTACGTATTTCAGGCTTTTTCTTTAAGGGGGGAAAATCATCAATTGAATAGGCGAAAGGGAGTGTTAGACTATTACTGACTAAAAACCACCCCGTTCCTACTTCTGCACTTCGAAAAAGAGCCCCGGTAACCCGTTAAGCCCCCTTCTGCTATTTTAAAAAATTGCTTTCACCCATCGAAAAAAATATTTTATTTTTTTATTATCCCAGCTTAAATAATTATCAATTCTTTAGAAAAGTTATTATTTTTACTTGATATGCTATGAGTCTATTTTAGATAAGTCCAACATTCCAAATTAAAAAAAAAAATATACACTTGGGATCAAGCTTGCAGGAATTTACTTAAAAATCTGACTTAGTGTAACTATAATAATAATAACTATTATTAAATTAACTATTATAACAGAAAAGCTCTGTGACCAAAATTTAAAATTACGGAAAAAAAAAAAACTTACGTTTACGGTCTCCAAAAATGAGATGTGAATGTCCTATTATCGGGAGAAAGCCTGGCATCATAGGAGGTGCATCAGGTTTCTGCCTGAACCACGTAGTCCACACAGCGAGCACCACGAAACATAACAACACCAACCCCACAGCTATGTACATTTTGCAAGCCTAACAACGATCTGAGCCCGAATAACACGAAATCTTCTATTTATGTATGAAGTGATTGCTAACAAATTATCATGGCTATAACTGGTTTAGTAACCCTGGTGACGTCAGTTGAGGGTACAACTTTTTTTGAAGATTTTGTTTTTTTTTTTGTTTTGAAGATTGAGACTGGGATACTGGTTGTATTGCGCAGGTGGTAAATGAAAAATGATTACGAAAAAAATGAAAATTTAGAAAAAGTAGACTTAATACTGATTTTACTCGTATCAATGTTTGTTTATATTGTTTTCGAGTAAAATTTATTACTTAGTGTTTTTTCGTGTTAAAAGTATTTACGCAAATACTAAGAATTATTGTTTTCTTGTACCTGTATATATAATACGTCGTTTCTTAAATCGTTTATCGCATTAGAAAATTGATTTTTTTTTATTATGTAAAAATAAATTTTATGAAGTAATTGAAATTTTTTTGCAGGAAGACTGCTAATGCAACATTTTCTTTAGAAAAAAAAACAGAAAAATGAAATAAAAAATTCTGCTACTCCATCTACACACCCTAAGTCAACCTATGCCACCTTTTCACAAAACGCAGTTCAAGCAATCGGAAAGAAATATACGTGGTAGTTTTTTTTCAAGTTATTAATTTGTCTAATAAGCGTTGTCACTTATCGGTGACACAGCTCTCAATATATTGGACAACCCAACATGGTAATAGCTTGTAAAGCGCGTTTCCGAATGGCGGGGCAACGACATAAAATACACTAGTATTATAATTATTAATTTTGATAACCTTGACGGAAGCATTCTAAATGATGACTTTAGTCTAGAGGACGATGTGTAGTAATAGGTGGTTTATTTATAGCACCATCAAAAAATATGTATATTTTTGGAAAATAATGATATTATGACGTGTGATTTTTTTATTTTTTATTTATTTATTTCATGGGTCGACGTTTGACCACTATCTCGCCTGATATTATGAATTATTATGTGTATTATATTATGTGTGTTATTTTTTTTAATGTGTTTCACAGTGCCAGGACCTCTAAGCAGGTTTTGACTAGTTTCGATCATAATGAGGTTATCTAATTAACTAAAAAATTGGCCAATTCAACAAAATTAAAGTTCAGATTCACAAATTTGTGGGCAGGTAAAATTTGTGTGATGCACAAATGTAATATGAAATTACGTCACGCCCGAAATGTGGACGTCTTCCTATACCCGAAGGAATAGGAAGACGTCCACATTTCGGCACCTATACATTGCAACACCCACTTTTCATTATTTATGTTATGATTCCCATGTAATAGGGGGTGAGTTTACTGCCATATATAATGGGCACATTTTCAGACTCCGGGCTACTATTGAGTTTTTCTTTTTGTCAAGTCGGGTGAAGTCAAGATATTTAATTATCTACTCACCATATATTTAAAATCCTCAATAAAAGTAATTTTTCAACACTACTTAACAAAAACTAAAAAAGGATATTTAAAAATTTATAAAATAGGAACCTACCAGTAGTGGGAGCATGGTCCAAGCTACCGGTGGTCAGTGCTCCATAGACAGAAACCTCCTCACGATACATGCTGTTTCTAGGAGAACTGCTTTCTGATCCTTAATCCATCCGAATAACGCCAGCCTCCTAAGATGGATGTCGATTCGTTTAGAGATTAACCCATTAGACTCGCCGAAACCACACTCTGTATGTAAATTTTATATAACTTTGAAATAATAATAATAATTAGCTAACTATAATTATTTCAAAAATGAGAACCTTCATTAAATTCCGTGCCTGTCAGCACAATGGCGTGAGAACTTCAAGTTCACATTAAAATTCATAGACGTACTGCGAACCAGCCTACCAATTCTTACAAGCACGCCGTCGATCGTCATACATCTAATTCGTTTTTAAAAAAATGTTTGTGACTTTGTGATTTTCTGATCCGATATGCTGATGTTAATCGTGAATTCATTTAAAATGGCAAAAAAGTAGGTTAAGGTGAATGACAATATCGCAAAACCGATGTTAGAATTCGTTATTACATTTTAGTTCGTATATTATTACAATTTATTTAATTTGTTATAAAGGTACACTAGGATATATTCTGCAAAAATACACACACTTCACATACACTCCCGGACAACGATTTGGGGATTACACAAATAATTGTTCCTGCGGGAATCAAACCTACGACTTATGCGCAGCAGCCAGTCGCCAAGTTACTATAGCGACAAAAGTATAAAAAAAAAATTCCAGACTCCGTGTTACTGCTGAGAATTTTTTTTAAAAACCCAGTAATACTTTGCCCGTCCCGGGAATTGAAACCGAGACCCCTTGCCCGGCAGTCGCAATTGCGACTACTCGGCCAACGATTGAATTAATTATGAAGATGAATTAACATTGAAAATTTTTCTCGGAACTAAATTTAATATTAACATACCATGAAGAAAAACCTGTTCAAAATAAACCATAGTCCGGAAAACCCGCGCCAATAAAATAAATTATTGGCATTGACAAAATAGTTTTCTATGCAAATTCAAATGACGTAAATTTGATTTGATACGGCCTTATAATTTTTATCGGCTAAGGCGAGATATTTTTTGTGTATCATTGAAACATACTATTATAAAAATTGCTATTCCCAAAGGCGGTAGGCTGTAGATACTTGCTTAAGATGTGTTGCATAGAAGAACGAATATGTAATTATTTAATTGAAATTAAATGTGTGTGTGTGTGTGTGTGTTTGTTACTCTTTCACGTAAACATGGCTGTCGGGATTAGGATGTAGTTTGGAACAGGGTAAATTATAATAATAATAAATAATCCCACGGGCACGCGGGCGAAGCCACTGGCAGAAGCGAGTTATATACCAAACACAAATAAGTTTATATACCTATACAAGAACTTCATCCATTTGTCCAACGCCAGATAACTGAGGTATAACTTTGAACATTTGACAAATTCTTTCATACTATAAACTGTCAAATGGCAATTTTATTCTACAGTTAAAAATTAACTGATGATTGAAAAATCCGCCATTGTCAGGTTTCAGTTAAAAACATAAGAAATGAAATCAAGTTAAGTTTTAAGGTGGTATTTTACAACGACTTAATGTTTAAATTATTTTAAAAACATCTGACACTGAACAGACCCCTTTGCAAAGTTGTGACCTTCAGAACTACAGAATTAATTATGCAATATATTATATGTGTATTAATTGTGGTATAAAACGTGTTTTTTTTCTAATGACGTCAGATTGTCTTGTATGACAGGGTCAAAACCAAGACAAGTCGGCAACGGCCTATGGGCCTTATAAATTTTGCACAGATTTTTTTTTGTTACTATAACCTTATTTTATTACAGTTGAACAATTTTTTACTGTTGTTTGATTTGTACTTACTTAGCTATGTAAGTGTTGGTTTGATTTCAAACTTGATATGCGATTGCAAAAAGTAAATTACGATAATTAATGTGTTTTTCTCTGTACGATGTCAGAAGGATCGAATCCGAAACGAAGTGATTCAAGCCCAAAGCATCATAGACTAAGCGCTGGTTTCACCGCCTCTATATAAGTAACTGATAAACATATGTGATAATGTCGTGGTGGCCCGGAGGTTTAAGACGCCCACTTCTCATGCATGAGGGTGCGGGTTCGAAACCTACCATCGGCAAGTACCAATGTGACTTTTTCCGAGTTATATGTACTTTCTAAGATTATTTAGACACCACTGACAAACGGTGAAGGAAAAACATCGTGAGGAAACCTGGACTTATAATTTCTAATTATAAGTTTGAAATCGCCAACCCGCATTGAGCCAGCGTGGTGATTAAGGCTCTAACCTTCTCCGTGTGAGAAGAGGCTTTGCTCAGCAGTGGGCATTTATAGACTGTTGATGATGATGATGAAACATATGTGACAGAAAGTTCATACAAATTACGTTCTTAATTCAATTTTATCTGGTAGCTATCTAGCGGCTAACTAGATATTGTGAAACAGGCCCTTAGATAAACTGAAGTAACAATGGGTCGGTCTCATTTGCCGAAGAACCGGTGACCATTGTGGTAGACGTGTTCTGGAATGGAGCCTGCGTGTAGGCAAACGTAGTGTAGGGCACCCTCCATCTAGTGACGACAACAGTAAAGGCAACGATTGGATGAGAACGACTGAGGATCGTGGTCTTTTGTTATTGGAGAGGCCTATGACCAGCAGTAGACGGGGATGTTTTTGCGAGCATTCATTGTTCAAAAATATGGCTATTTTTTAATCAGGAAATCGGTATTGACTTAAATAGTGGCTATCCTGCCAATTTTTTGGGAACGTTACTTGTAAAATACAAAGTTTCTTTTAAACAATAAATATATTTTTTTGTAGTAATATAAATCTTATTAGAAAAAATATATTATTGGTAGACCTATTGTCTTTCTGTTCACATTGTTTATAAAATGTAATAAAACTGGAAGATCAAACATAGATGTTATCATGTCTTATTATATGAATAAAAAAATTGTTAATTAACTTAGAGGTATATTAACATTTAATTGCTTGCATTTTTGCTACATTAAATTATATGATTTTATACGAAACCTTATCTTTTGCGTCTCCCTAATATGACCCCTAGGGCAAAAGGACATTAAGTCAAGCCATATCTATTGTAACCATTATGAGTCGCCTCAATAGTCATTCAAAGGTTGCTCTGCCAGATTCAGAAATCTGAATCTGAAATCTGAATCGGTGATAATTGGGTTTCCGGTACCCTCATGCACACGACGAAACGACGACGTTCTTCTCCTTAGGAATCCTCGCTTTGGAAGTAGATGGGGCCTAACAGGGCCGATGCCGTTTCGGAGTCGCGGAGAACCTAACGGGTAACCGGGGCTCCGGCTCGACGTGCAGGAGAAGGAACGGGGTGGTTTTTAGTCAGTAAGAGTCTGACACTCCCTCCCGCCTTACCTAGGCGGGAGCAGCCATTCGATGATTATCCCGCTTAAAAAAA